AAAAGTAAATGTTGAAAATTGTAGTAAACACTAAATGCATTCTTTATTATAATCATTAAAATATACTTCTGATGTTGTAATAGTAGGATTTAATCTTTTGGTGCTCGCGATTAATCCAAGAATTTTGAGTTGCCCCTTGAGTTGAGTCATAGATTTTCTGTCTTGATTAGATGACGGTTCTAATATTTGACGAATATCAAATGCAAGAGACGGATTGTCAATAATCACGATTAGACTCTTGCATTATGACACTTGATAAGTGTGTAACTTATCCACGCTATTAGACTTGATAGAATATGGCTAATTGAGCAAATTTCTCCGTGGCTCAACCGATTGGTCATTGCATAAAAACCTATAAAAAAAATATAAACTATAAATTTTGTTTTAAAGGTAGAATTAAATTTTTTATTTACTTTTTACTAAGAGTGTGTTTGGTAGGGATTTTTGGAGGAAGAATTGATTTTTAAATAGTGATATGATGGGAAATGTGTGGTTGAAAAAGAAGAAAAAAGTATTGATGTGATGGAAAATATTATTTAATTGAAGAATGTGTGGTTGAAAATGAGAATTGATTTACTGTAGAAAATGAGAATCTGTACCAAACAGGCCCTAATTATTTAAGTTTATAAAATAAAGTAAAGGTTGAATGAAATTTTTAAAATTTTTTTTTATATAAAACCTATAAATAATTCATTAAATAGATAATAAGTTATTTCCACATAAGTAATATTAAGGCTCTGTTTGGTACACATTATTTTTTTCATTCTCATTCTTCTACTCATTTTCAACCACAAATTTTTTCAATAAAATAATATTTACCATCACAACAATAACTTTTCCTTCATTTTTAACCACACATTCTCCATCAATCTACTATTCAATAATACATTCTTTCAAAAGAATGTGTACCAAACACACTCTAAAACACTCTATTTCAAGTAAATAAGGAACCCATTATTTTCATTTTCTCATTCTTCTACTCATTTTCAACCACACATTCTTCAATAAAATAATATTTTCCATCACATCAATAACTTTTCCTTCATTTTTAACCACACATTCTCCATCAATCTACTATTCAATAATACATTCTTTCAAAAGAATGTGTACCAAACACACTCTAAAACACTCTATTTCAAGTAAATAAGGAACCCATTATTTTCATTAGAGATCCAAGATTCAATTCCCTTGGACCCTAAAATTTTGTAATAGAATTTAAAAACCCAATCAAATCGGTCAATCGGGCCGAGTAAATGGCCGGTTAACTCAGTCAAAACCAGATTTTGACTAAGTCAAGTGCATTTCAATTAAATTAATATGTCCGGCCCAGTCAAGGGTCCGGGCCTCCGATTTTCCTGGCCGACCATCCGAGTCGGGTCGGGTTTATAACTATGGTTTTACTAAATAGAAGTTAGATATAACTTGGTCAAAGCATGATTTTGACCGAGTCAAGTGCATTTTGATTAAATTAATATGTCGGCCCGGTTGGCCCGGTCAAGGGGCCGGGCCGCCATTTTCCGGCCGACCATCCGGGCCGGGCCGGGTTTATAACTATGGTTTTACTAAATAGAAGTTAGATATTACCATTGGTTAAATAATAGTGATTTTGGCAATAATTTATGAATTCTTTAGGTCCACTATACTTCTTGTTAATCGATATCGTACAATTGCAATGATTTTTTTTTTTAGTGTCATTGTTGGGGAATTTTTTTTTTTTTTTGTTATAAATATAATTTATTTTTAGTTTTTGTATGCTTTTTTATTTTTTATTTTTTTTCATTTAATCTTAATTATTTTTATTTCATTATTTGTCATGAAACGAAAAGAAGCAAGATACGAGCAACACTGAGATTAATGGTTCTATTTTGGTGACAATGACATATTTGTGGGTGATGTCTTTGCTAGGTGAAGATATAATATGATGGGATATTATGCACTTGTTGAAGGTGATGGGGTGACATTCTAGTGGAATTGTTTCTCCCATTGTCGTGAGCAAGCACGACTTACTATTAGGAGAATTATGGAAATCACATCAACCGAGCTACCAAGTACAAGATGTCAAAACGGTTCAAATGAGTCTGACCAGTAAAAACTACAAGACTATGCATAATATTGAAAATTGCTTGCTATAGGCCACTCTAAATGAGCAGAAGAATATTTCAGGAAGATCGAAGCTCGAAATTATGTGAATCACCTCTACCAGGCTTTCCAAGTAAGGGCGTGAATGTTGTCCAGATGAGTTTAACATGTGAAAATCGTAGGATTGTGCATTATGCTGAGAATTGCATGTTGTTGGCCACTTCATATAAACTTAAGAAATTTCAAGGATGATCCACATGCAGAATACAATATGTTTGTTGAAAATGTCTTCGTCATACAATGATTTAAAAGGACGGGAGCCTACATAAGTTTAGATGATCTATGTTCGCAGTACAATACATACTCATAAACATTTAATATGGGATGGAAGTAACACCTAAATTTCTATATATCGAAAAATCAAAATAGTGGTAATTCCACTAATTCTCAACAAGAAAGAAATATTCTCCGACTACTTCTTTCATCAATTGTCCAAGATTTTGGATAATAGAGCAATTATTCAACCCAAGGAAACAACAATAAAAAATGAAATATGGAGAATGAGGAATTAATCATAATGGGCCTATTTGAGGCACACACCCCCCCCTCCTTTGCGTAGAATGCATGCATTTTGAAATAGTAGATTACTAGAGAATGTGTGGTTAAAAATGAAATGAAAATTTTTGAGTTGCTTGTTTAATATTATTTTATTGAAAATGTGTGGTAGAAAAGAATAGAGGAAAATGTATTTCGAAAAACAAAATGGGGATCAAACAAGGGCAATGTATTCAAATGACCAATAACATTTAATGACATTGGGATTATTATACAATCCTCCGACTTCATTTTGATTAAGACCAGGAAATCGAAATATTTATAGTTAAGTTCGAATCGAGTTGTGAAGATGAGTCATATTATTTGATAAGGTTATGTTTAAAATTTGGATGATAAATAAAGAATGGTACAAAGTCAACTGATGCAAACAAAGCAAAGCCTCAAATCCATATTCAAAGTGCTGTAAAAATATGTAGAAATAAGTCGACTACAAACGAGCATTTACTGGAAGGCAACCTAATTTTCTTTCATTTTCTTACTCTTTTGCATTAGTTAGTTCATATTGCATTTAAAATACATTACTATGAGCACTTAAACAATAAAAAGAACCCTAGAGATATTAATTTTAATATAGGTTTACTTTAAGATCATTAACTAGGTTACATAAGTCATTCGAAATTAGTTAGTCTAAATTCCCATATAATTATATTGATAATTATTTTTCTTATCTCATTTTAAGTATATTAGAAATATTTCTCGAAAAGAGCTCAGAAAGATAAAAGATGGATATTACTTTCTTTGTTATAGAAAGAATTTCTTGTTATTATCCATTCCAGATGAATACAAGTGATCTTTCTAGAATGATCCAAACCTACAGTTATAGGAATCATCCTCTACTGGGCTTTTCCAAGTACAAGGTGCGAACACAGCCTAGATGATTTGATGTGTGAAAACTAGTGGGCCATGCATTTTACTAAGAATTGCATGTTATTGGCCACTCTAGATAAACTAGTGGGCCATGCATTATACTTAAGAATTGTACATATTTGAATTGATTTGAGAAATTTGGTTCCCTAGCATCGATCTCGAGTAAAGAGCACTATCTGTCTCGTTTGTGGGCAATATCTTCGCCATGCAACAGTTTAAAAGGACAGGAGCCAAGATAAGATTGAATGATCTATGCCCATAGTACAATCTATAGTCGCTGACATACGATCCATGATGGGAGCAGTATCCAAATTTCTATTTATTGAAAAATCAAAATAGTGTTAATTACATTTATCCTCAACAAGGAAGACTTCCCATGAAAACTTCCTTGTGTAATTGTCCAAGACTTTGGATGATAGAATGGTTATTCAACCCAAAGAAACAATTAAGAAAGAAGAGCACTTAGAGAATGAGAAACAAATCTTAACATAGCCAAACGAATCAATCGCATTTAATGAAGTTGGAATCATCATATAATCCACTAAATTCGTTGTTTATTTTTAAATTGATCTTGTGATCGAGGAAATCGAGATATTCATCATTGAGTTCGGGTTTGGTGGTGTAGGCAAGTCATATTATTTTGAGATGGCCAGAATAAAAATTTTGAGGATAAATGAAGAGCTGTGCAGAGTCAATCGATGCAAGCTAAGCAAGACGTCCAAAGTCACGTTAAAAATGTTGTGAAAATATGTTCGTAAAAAAGTGGGGCTAGGACTATGAACGAGCATTTTGATAGGCAACTCAATTTTTTATCTTTTTCCTTATTCTTTTACATAAAAACAGATGCATTTAAACAATAATAAAAAATAAAAATAAATTACAAATAAAATACTATAGTGTTTAAATTTAATATAGGTTTAAATTAAGGTCATTAACTAGGTTGCGTAAGCACTCAAAATTCAGTTAGCCTAAACTCCAATGTGATTATGTTGATAATTATTTTTCTTCTCTCTTTTCAGATATAATAAAAGTATTCGTTGAAATGAGCAAAGGAGTATAAAGGAATATAAATTATCAATGATAAAGGAGAGACACCATCATATGACATGACTAGTATTGTTAATTTCCTTGACTTATATAATGCTCACATTAAGGAGAATGTCTAATTCAAGTTTGGAGGTGTTACTGCATTATTTTTGCTTTATTTGTTTGTGTGTGAAGTTATTGGTTTTTACAGTCATTGAAAATAAAAAATAAATTATGCAATAAAAAATTGAAAAATTATGAAAACTTCAACAAAAATATTTATGTGTTTGTGTCGATTAATGAT